GTACAGGACTATCAGAAGCGCGTTGAAGAAGTAGTAGCCGAAAAAAGTCTGGGTGAGCTCCATGGAATAGTAACACGTGTTGTAGAGAATCCTTTGGGGGTGCAAAAAGGAGGAGGAAAAGGGTTACGCTTGTATTGCTTCTCAGCACTGTTTAAGGCTGGGATAATCAATCGGGTCAGGAATTCTGGCAGGGCGGTATGTATTAGGGCTTCAAAAATGAGAATTGATGATCTGAATGGCTTCAGTCAATATTAATGTTGAAATAACTTAATGGAGAATAATAGATAATAGATTGGGACCAGCAACTGGGTCGTTAAGCAAAGAAATCGCTAAGTGAACCTGCCATGTGCTTAAGATCTTCCTTCAACTTTCCTTCGCTTTACAAACCCACGAAAGTCATCAAGGTGAGGACAGGTGGCAAAGTAACTTTTTCATCACCATCGTAACAGTGAACGGTTGTGAAACAAGGCAGTTGCTAAACGAGACATTCTGTGGCCGTTTAGTCCCTCAGTCCCCCTCCCTCCCTCAACCACCGACTTTTTATTTCCCAAAAATTATCACTGCTACTCCTGCAACCTGAGGAGTTTTCCTGGCCTTGATGTCACCTCCCACTTCTGGTGGTTTGATGGGCTACATGGAGGTTCAAACTGCTACTTGTAGAGAGCAATGACAAGCTGAGGTGTCCCAAGGTGTGTGGGGGTGTCAAAAAAGTCAAGATGGCGCTGCAACTGTGCCATCAAACCCCGCCCCCCTTTCTGCATGCATTCCCGAAACGTACTTGAATGGAAAAATCACCAGGCAAGTGAACAGGAATAATGCTGTGAATATGAAAAAGAGGGTGTTGCAAGTCTTCTGCCACTTCAGGTAGTTAAACATCTTCGCGAACTGGGGAAAAAGAGAAAGAAAAAAGCAGAAATTGTTGAGCGGCTGAGGTTCCTATTGTGAAAGGACTTGACTTTCAGGATTCAGGGGACAATTTTCTCTACATTTAGACTGCAGCGCCCATCTTCTCTCTCCCACGAAGGATTCTGGGAATTGTAGTTTGGGGAATATGTAAATGCCCAAGAGAAACATGGCCATAGGTTAGCTTACAAGCCTGTCTTAGTCTCCAGCAGCTCAAACCTGTTCCAAACCTCCGGTGCTGAGTGCCCTTCCTGGACTAGGAGGTGAATAGGATCAATAAGGAATGTCAAACAACAACAACAACATTTTCAATTTCCCTTGCTTCTCATTATTGTCAAATTGTCAAGTTCAGTTTGTGAAAAATGGTTGCTAAAGGTATAAAAAGGGGACCTTCCACTGTTTCAAGAGACACCGGGCTTTTGAAGCTCCCTCCAAATGGTTGGGGTTCCCATCTTCAGATCTGACTTGGTTTCCATTGGCCAAGAGCTTGCCTTTCGAAGAACAAACGGAGGGCGACCAGCAGGAGAGTGAAGGGGAGGCCGAGCAGGATGTGTCGGGGTTGGGGATAGTGGACGTCCTCCGTCTCCTGCATGTCCTCCCAGGTGATCCCTGGGGGTAGCCAGTACTCCTGTCTCCAAAGCTGCGCCATCTCCCTGGGGAGGAGAGAAGAAAGACAGGGGGTGAGATGGAGCACTGCACAAGTGTTTCCGGAAGGAGGGTCCTCTCTCAGCCCTTCCAAGCCGAGGCTCAGGGGAGCAGCGCTCCTCCATCTTCCCCACCTCCCAGCAGCTCTTGGAGGTAGGCCAGGTCAGGGAATAGACAGCGCAAGGACTCCTGGACTCTTCTGTGACCATGTATAACATAATCTTGAAAGCCTGCCAGAGTTTCCCTCCACCCCCTCTTCTACCAAAGAGAATCAAGGAGGAATTATCTTGAGTTTCTTTCTCACCCGCTCTTCCTTCCCGGGGCTAAACTGAGAGTTCCTTGACAGCCTTGCACTCTTCCTTCAAGATCATGTCAAGACTACTTCACACCTCCCTAGATTTAAGCCCAAGTTAGGACCCTCTCAAGGTGTAGGGATTCCAGCTCCCAGGATTCTCAGCTATGGCTACGCAAGCTGGGAATGCTGGGACTGGATCTCCATGCATCAAGAGGGTATCAATATGGGGAAGCCGAGACAATCACAGAGAGAAGACGGCAATGTTTATAATGCCCTCTCCCTGGTTTAATCCTGTCCGTAGGACTGGACAGTTTCATACCAAAATCCTTTCTATGGAACCTTCCCCCTCCCCCCAAAAAAGTAATGTCCCTTTATGAGAAGCAAAACATTGGGCAAGAAAGAGATGCTAGAGACCTTTTGGTGCCACAACTGATGGACGGAAGCCAAAATACTGGAACCGAAATCAAAAGAGGGGGTGTGGTAGAAGATCATTTCATTCCCCCTCCTCGCCCTCAGTCCTATTCCTGCAAGCCAGAAAGTGGACCCTCCTTTCTTGCAGCTGCCAGACGCCAAACACTGGGATCAGTTGAGCCCTTTGTAAGAGAGGAGTCGGGGACTTAAACTGATGGCCATATTTCTGGTGTCCTCAACACAGGGCCGGGCCCTTGCGAGGACTAAGCATTTCAACCACCCAAAGGCTGGATTAGACCATGTCAGTTGGGTATAACAGCAGCTGCTGAAATGCCTCTG